TATAATTCCGTAAGCCCGATTTCTGTTTCGAAATTGCGCCGCGACCGTCGTGCCCATACGGGCGTCGGAGGTGCCGGCGGGACCGTCCCGGTCCCGGGGGGTCGGGAAAAATGCGGGGATCGCGCGTCGGGCCCCGCGCCTCTCGCGCCCTCCGAAAGATCGCTTATCCCGTTCGTCCCGCTGGGAGATGCGCGGTTTTTCGTTTTCCCCGTGCTGTTCGTTCTCGGTCAGCTGATGACTCGGCTGCCCGAGGCGTTCGTCGTCATGGATATTCGTCGTTTATAAAGAATTCCGATTTTTTCGCACAGTGCGCGTCGTCTTTTGAATTTTGTTAATATTTGTCGTGTATGAAGAATCCCGAATTTTTAGTAAAGTGTGCGTATTCGTTTTAATATTGGGAATGGATCGGAGTCGAAAACGTGGGCGTCCGGCGAAGCGTGGCAATGTTTCTCGCAATTTATCCTCGCGACGCAAAGTGCGACATGACGGCTATCTCAGTGAGATGGATAATGTACGACGTAGGGGTGAACAGGGAAATAACCTCAATCCATTTCGGCAGAGCACTGATAATTTTATCGAAAATGATTATCCGGAAAATAATTTCGGACTTTTAAATGTGAAGTGCCAGTATTGTGATGCCTTGCATTTCAAAAAAGAGGAGGTGAACGGCCATTTTAACAGATGTTGTCATAATGGTCTTCTCAGACTTGCCGAGCCTGGAATCAATGACCAACTTTGCGACCTGTTCTCCAAACCCATCTTCATGACCAACATTTTGAGGTACAACAGTTGTATGGCTTTTGCATCTCTGTCTGCTTCCAAAGCTCATATAATTTTGAACAAAATCTTCTGCCAACCAAATATCTGTATTAAGTCCTCATTGTGATCCAATGATTTATCCTTTGCTCTATATCCTCATGGCGAACCAGACTGGGATCCTAAAATGGAGCATAATGGACCACGCAAGCAGCCAAATCACAAACATGTAACCATGCTACAATTCGCGTGTTACAGGCTTGCCATTAGAACAGCATTTTCCCATATTCACCAATCAAAGAAATTATTTCAACAATATATTGTAGATTTATATGTTCGTGTCGAAGGTGAGAGGCTTCATTATATTAGAGAGCATCAGTCCGAACTCAGAGTTGAACAGTATGCTGGGTTGCAAGATTTTGTTCTGGATAAAGCACGACTCAATAATATGAATGTTGGAAGAATTGTAGTTTTACCATCTTCTTTTGAAGGCAGCCCCCGTAATCTTATTCAAAGATATCAAGATGCCATGGCAATTGTCCGCGTGTATGGCAGACAAGACATTTTTTTGACAATGACGTGTAACCCGAAATGGTCGGAAATATCCGTTGCTTTAGCGCCAAAAGAAACTGCTGCAGATCGTCCAGATTTAGTTTCACGAGTTTTTCATTGCAAATTGGATCAATTACTAAGAGATATATTAAAAGAAAATGTTCTGGGTAGAGTTGTTGCACATGTTTATGTAATTGAATTGCTAAAGCGTGGTCTCCCACATTGTCATTTGCTCTTAATTTATTAGCAGAAGATTTGGTTCAAAATTTGAAGTCGTAAACATGGATTGCTTCTCATGGAAGAGATGAATTAAGGACGGAAATTTTGAAACACCGCAATGGAGATACGTGGTTTCGCACTTCAGTCGGTGCGATACGGAAATCCATCAAGTAGAAAAAAATGCATCAAGTCCCCGTCACCGCCGACCAACGCGTTTGTCGATCGAATCAACTACAGGTAGTATGAGTAGGGGGTCAAAACGCCTTCAATTTTTTGAACGCAATACGGACATCCGTCGAGGTTGTGTAGTTGTATCAAGGCGCCGTAGCAAACGCGTCCCATTGTTTATCGTTACATACGAGACAAAATGAGAGACGACGTTTCTCCATTTGCGACGTTGCAGACTTCCTTTGAAATTTTATTTCTCTTTCGAGAAGCTGGTCAACATGAAACTTAAATTTTCCGTGATTTTTCGTATTCGATAGCAGAAGATTTGGTTCAAAATTATATGGGCTTTGGAAGCAGACAGAGATGCAGAAGCCATCCAACTGATGTACCTCAAAATGTTGGTCATGAAAATGGGTTTGGAGAAGAGGTCTCGAAGTTGGTCTTTGATTCCAGGCTCGGCAAGTCTGAGAAGACCATTATGACAACATCTGTTAAAATGACCGTTCACCTCCTCTTTTTTGAAATGCAAGGCATCACAATACTGGCACTTCACATTTAAAAGTCCGAAATTATTTTTCGGAGAATCATTTGCGATAAAATTATCAAAAAATAATAAATACATCTTCTTACAGCAGTTATTTATGTTTTAATTTCAAGACTGCTGGGTCTATAAATTACTACCATATTTACAAAATTGATACTCGCAAACATGTTTTTTGTTTTTGCTGATGGGTACAACAACAGCCCCCATATGTAAAAATATTTTGTAGCTTCTGAATAATTATATTAAAAAATATAAATATGGGCATAATAGGTATAGTAAAATATATTAATACAAAAGTTATTGTTATAACATGGTGTAATTTCATTAATGACGGTTTATCACCGTGCGAAGCACGGGTTGGTTGCTAGTATTTTAATAAAATAGAGACAGATTAGTGTTACTGTGCGGTTATTGCCATTGGTAACGGCAACGCTGACCGAGGCCTTTTTGCTAGATTAAATACCGTGACTTGGGCTTTGAAAAATTAATGGATCGCTGCTCGCCTGCAGTTAGCACTAAATCCCGTTTTTTAAGTAGACTCATCACCGGTGGAAAACACTGTGCACGTATTCCTGGCGTTCGGCGAGGAGTAGACCACTATACAGGGTGTCAATTGATCCACTACGAAATATATTCTTTTGGTTCCGGTGGGTCTCATTTTGAGAATGACATAATTTTAGGGAGAGCCCCGGAACAAATTTCTGGGAAGTGAGGAGAGAAGTGGGTAATCCGCTCCACTGAAAAAAAAATCTCGGTGTATTTACCAAGAAAAGGGCAAAATTACCAAGAATTCAGGGTTCTATTTGATCCCAGTTTTTTCTTGGTAAAATTACCATTATGGAATTGGTAATTTTACCGAGAAATCCAGGTATAATTATTGAATTTCCTCGGTAATTTTACTGGACCTTGGTAAAAACGCCAATATTTTTTATCGACTGTGGTAGAATTACCGAGATAAAATGGCAAAGTTACCGGGAATTGATTGCCAATAAAAGTGGTATCCTTACCTGAAAAAACAGTAAAAATACCGGTTTTTAAATAAGGTTACCACTCTGTCTTGGTAAATTTACCAATAATTGGTAAAAAAATTGAGATGGTAAAGGTACCAACGGACCTTGGTAAAAGAGCCGAGAATTTTTTTTCAGTGTGGAAAAAAAAGATGCTGATTTAAAATTCTGAATGTAAAAAGTGTGCGACAACTCACAAAATGCTGAATTACCCGCCACAGCAGTTATTGTTACATCTTGGAATTGCTGAAGTAACTGCTGTAGCGGCTAATTCAGCGTTTCGTGAGTTGCCGCACTCTTTTTCACATCCAGAATGTTAAACCAGCATTCTTATTTTCCGGCGTCCGTCCCTCTAATTTTTGGCTCGTGCAAATAGATTTTTTCCGAAACCCTCGCAAAACAGACCCGTCCGTCGCTCGGCCAAATACAAACGGGATCAAACAAATTAAAATCGGAACAAAGCTCCGACGCGTCCGACGCCCATTACGTCGCTCCTCTGACGTAAGGGCGTTTCTCGAATTCCACTTGAGCCCTGTTCTCCGTTTAACTCAATGTTTTCCGAGGCTCATGTGGAAATTTAGATACGTCCTTACGTTAGAGGAGCGACGATAACGGAGTCCGTAATAGCGGGGCTTAGGAGCGGCCCGAAAATCCGCATAAACAGGGCTATTAGCCGTGCCGATAATCCGTGGGACGGGCCGAACGGTCCCTTTCGGGAGATAAAATCTTGACGCGGGAGAGAAAATAATTACGGACTCGTTCGTGGCACCTTATTAATCAACGCGCCTGTCGACAAGTTTACCCTTCCAGCGGCGAGGCGCGAATGATCGATTATCGATATTTCCCCATTTGAAGTCGTGGTAATGAATCGATTATTAAGGTGTTCGCTACGGACACCCTTTTTATCGATCATTTTCTATAGGTTTGAATAGCAGTTCATTCGATATATCGCAAAGCACGCCACGCCACTGTACCCTTCGTAGATATCGTTTCGCAATAACCCCCCCCCCCCCTACCTCCCCATCATTCCGTTCTCACGGATGCCTCCCCCCCTACGACCTCCCCACCCCATTCCCTCTGGGATTATCTGGGACGGGAGTTTTTCAATTTCCTTGAACCTGAGGCGCCGAAATCAAAGGAGACAATCTCGATTTAGAATGGTAGCCTGAACGGTGCTATGTCCGGCACTATCATAATGGGAAATTCAATGTCTTAGGTTCTGATGGTCAATTTAGAGTACCTATATAGGGAAAGTATCAAAAGCATAAAGACGCGTATGATAAAATTGCGGAGACAACGTATTCTGGGTTGATTTTTGATCAAATTCACTAACCCACATATATTTTTTTTAACTTTAGGTTATTTTTGGTCCGTTATCGACCGATTAATCTCATTTGAGAGTTAACGGCCATCAGAACTGTAACGACCTGTTTGAACCGGCAGGACCACCATGTGCAGAAGGAAAACTAACTTTATCAGAGATCCTTGATTTTTACCGAGCCAAATTAGGTGTATTATACCAAGTCACCGTCCCAACTTTATTTTTTGTTCGTTTTAGTGAGTTAAAACGAGTCTAGAGCAAGAAATATGCAAAACTCAAGGGTACAAGTTCACATCAAATTTCCGGTTGTCGTTCCCTAAATACATAGATACTTTGGGTCATTTTAGCCTCCCACGAAAAAAAAGAAAGAGTGTAAAAATCATGACAAAGCATGCCGATATATCTGTTGGTAAATGAAAATAATAAAACGTCATGATGTTTCTTGGAAATATCATATTTTGGATATGCACCAACTTCAGGATATTGATATTGAAACCAGGTAACCAGTTTTTGCCAGGCAAATTCCTGACACATGCAAGAGTTCAATTTTTTTTAAAACTAAAGAAGTAAAATACGAGAGGACCTTTGGAAATCGAGTATTCATTGGGCTTCACAATCAACTGGCGCAACTAAACCGTGACACTGATCGCTCTCGATAAGTCGAAGGTATCTCTCATGAAACTCCCTGCCACTTGCTCAATCCCTTTGGCCCTGCTATGTGCGTAACCGAGACCAATTAACACCCTGTGTCGCACGAGTGGCGTGCCACTCTTAAAAGGATATAGCGAGGTGGACATATTTTTCAAATGTTTCGCCACGCACTTGAGCGAAGAGAGCGCGCCCTGGCGGCCTTTCACGGTTATTGCAAAAAGCGTCTGATCATGGCTAAGAAGTAGGACATCAACTCGCCCGCTCTGCAATTTGCTGTCGTTCATTTTGTATTGCGAATACGGGAACAGATCGCGCATAGTGCTGGGGAACGTCCACAAGAGGGCGCTGAACTCGTCAGGCCGCCAGATCTCGAAACTCACCACGAGAGCCTTGATCGCGGCGAGCAAGTTGGCGAAGCTCCCTATTTCATCGTTCTTGAACTTGGATAAGGCTTCTATGTAGGCATTTCCGGCGTGTATTTGTGGTGAGGAATTAATCTTGATGATCAGGCAAAGCTGTGAACAGGTGGTCGGAGGTAAGTTGCGCCAGTCAAAGAATGAACTCCCAACAATTTACCGAAAAAAAATGGGAATAGGGTAAAATTAGGAAGTCTAAAACCTAGATACTGTAAAAAAATCATCGACTGCTTTGATATGCTTGAACATGTAAATTTATTCTCTTCACTTGCGTAATATCAGCTTGTAAACTAGCTTATACGTGCCTTTATTTACCATACTTAAGTCGGGTTTAAGTTGGTTGGATTTAGATAAAGAGAGAGTAAGGACATGTCGGTCAATTTTGAGGCTAGGTCATGGAGCTTTTAAGGCCCCAAAGGGCAGCCAATCTATACGAGAATAAACCTGCATAATTTTCGTCAAAAATTTGCCTTATTTTTGCATGAGATCGGCGGAAAAATCAGTGAAATTCTTAGTTTGATATTCCCAAAATTTTCCTGATAAAAATGCAATTTGTGCAGAAAAATCTGTCAACATTGAAATTTCGTTGTGTTATTCCCTCAGAGAAAGGAGTATACACGCTTAGAGTTCTTATTTATTTTCAGGAGGGATATATAAAATTACTTGCCAAAAACTTACCGCCAAGATGACGAATCCGTGAATTGGACAAAACTCCGTTGCTTTCAAACTCATAATGAATTTTTAAGTTTTCATACTCACTTCAACTTTGTAGTGGGCAATAATTGCAATTTGACACCGGTAAAGGCAAAATACAACAAATCATCTAATTTTAAGCTTTTATTCCTTGACACGCATTTGGTGTTATTATGAAGTGAGGGCCGAAAAATATGTCCTCTCAAGGCGATAGAACTTCGATGATAACAAGGCAACTCTGTTTTGATTATTATATAGATAAACTTCATACTTGTTGATAAGAGTGAGTTTAATCAAGTAACAAATGTTGGAGAGGCTATTCGGAATGATGGAAGGGGGAGGAAGAGATAATTCAATATTGTGACGTGAACATTCTACTGCCCTGGGAAGAAATAACAAAGTGACTTCAGAACTTCACATTCCGTTTTAGCAAGGGTGTGTGTGAGGGTGTGTGGGAAGATGTTTTGATCAGTTTTCTACTGAAAAAATAAAATATTCTTGAATCAAGTCTTGTGAAAGTTGCGAATATTTATTTAATCCGCCCTGAGTTTTTCGGGATCAATAATGTTCTTCAAGGATAGTATAGATAAAACGAGGTATGAATGGCCACAGTTGCTATGGTACCGCTAGTTATAGAAATCAAGAATGTCACTATTAATACTGCCACCACTACTCTGCCATGCCAAGAAAAAATGCCGAATGAGCCTTCAGGTGCTGCCAACCTTCCTTTGACAATTAACTGATTTTCAAGAAAATTTGTGAGAAATTTTTCTTCCGATTTATCAAATACCTAATTTTGTTTGTAATTTGATCTAAACAGTCTGACAATTGGACGTATTTCTACCAAACAGACCTATGTGCAGGTGAGAAATATGGGGTGTGCTCTAGAAATCTGCATAAGAAGCAATGTAAAAGTGGGCGTGATTCCTTTTGAAGAATTGGAAAAGCGGGATATTACATTCTATCAAACGGACCTATGTGCCAACTGAATGCGGGATTCATGAGCCGCAGGCATGGCAAGAGAGCGTTGTAGACAGGGCTCATGAGTTAATGCCCTCCGACGAAGACGACGACGTTGCGCTGAGCGGCTTTTTCATTGCCGCTGACGTCACTGGCGCTTTAATATTCTCATTCACTCTTACGGCCAGAGAACTAACGAGCATACCCCATATTTCTCACCTCCACATAGGTTTGTTTGATAGAAATACGTCCAATTTCGGGGGAAAATATTGATAATTTTACGCAAAAATAAAAATTTTATCGGAGGAAATTTGGCAACTCTCGAGTGTTCATACGGCGTTCTTTCTTAGTATGGTAGTACTAACATCCATGGTTGTTGATGTAACTACCGGGTTAGTTGTGACCTCCACCGCTGTAGTTATCGTTACTACCGCACGGTAGCTGGTGCATTTTTAACCAGCCGCTGGTTGTGTCGACTACCCTACTTTTTTCCGTGTACTATTACTACTACAATTTCAACGTTGAAAGTGGCTTAAGTAGAATACATAAAAAGATAAAATAAAATATGAACATAAATAATGAGGAATTGTGAGATGCATATTAAACTGATCGCGCTCAAATCTTTCCATTTTTTAAAAATCTCAAGGTTGAAGAACACTGGAAAAAAACACATTGGATCTAAAGTCCAGACTCTTGGAAACATTGACAAGAAAAAATACTCTTGATTCAATCGGATTTTTGCTTGAATCAAAACGAAATCCGCTTAAATTAAGAGTCTTTGTTCTCGATTTAAGCTAGATTCTGATTGAATCAAGAGTACCTTTTCTTGTCGATGTTTTTAAGAGTCTGGACTCTAGATCCAATGTGTTTTTTTTTCCAGTGAAGCAAAATTATAGGAATTCAAAATCGCGATCCGATGTGAAGAACCAGTGAGGCCGGTGTAAAAGCCGCCTACAGATTTAGCATATTGGTCTTTTCCAGAGTCGACCTGGTTTCAGTCGAAGCCGGTGTCCCGTAACAACGCAGCGACAGACGGTCCAGGGTCCCGCGGAGTGGGGGGGGGTAGAAGGGGGTGATTCAAAATGTAATAATGGGGCGAAATCGGGAACGAACTTGCCCACGCGCCCCAGCCCGACCGTGAACTTTCCCAACTTTTAGCCTCGTTCGCCGTTACTTTCCATCGGTCCTGGCTCGATCGCACGCTAATTCGCACGCAGTTACATTCCCAAAAAGTACTTCAGTCGGTTATTGAGATTATTTCCCGCCCTGAGAACTCTTTCCATTCTTACGAATTTAATATGTCCCTGGAAAACGGGTCGTGAGCTTTTGGTTTTGTTTCAAATATTGCCGTTTGGACGAAAAACGCCGTAAGAGCCTTGGAGAGCCCGTACTTTGGCCGGAAGTTGAGGATTTGTCAAATTTTAAGTTGAATTCAGTGATATACAGCGAGGACTTTCATTTTAATTTAAATGGTTTTCCCTTTAATTTTATCAGTAACACATCAGTGTCACTGGTTTTCCGTATAGTGGCTAAATAGGAAGAGTATGGCAAAGTCTATATGAAAAGGCAAAGTGGCAAAGTCTAAAGAAATATGCAGCTCTCATAGTGCCCAAAAAGGCAGCAAACCGTCTAAAGCAAAAATAAAGTCACCGCCAATCTTCACATTCCAATACCGAACCAAAATGACCAAGAATGTTCATAAATGAACGAGCGTTCTCCCGCAAAAATGAGTAAAGAGCCTCTCAAAAATTTGCCTCTTTTTATGCAGTCGATATTCGACCATCGGACTAAGGTTTAGATGGAAGTTTATGATGACACAAAACTCAGGAAAAAATCTCAAGATGGAATTAATGTCGAGTTTTGATTCAAGCAAAAAGTCCGATTGAACTAAGAGTATTTTTCTTGTCAATATTCTGAAAATTCTGGACTCTGGATCCGAGCGACTTTTTTTCCAGAGACATCGATCAATCATATGGACCTTTGCGATTTTTTCTATTGAAACACCGTGGTTAAAAACGGGACAAAGAGATCTTAGAATGTAGTTTAAAAGATTCCCTGGAAAGCTGATTTCAATCGCTGATTAAAAGAATTTGATCCGTCCAGCTTGAAATCCCTCGAGTTGGAAGCTGAAATTCCTGGGAAGTTTTCGCGGGAAAGTAGGGAATCGTGTTCCGTAGTGCAACACAGTGATTGAAATTGCTCTCGGGCTCCGGACTTAAGACGTCGGTCCTCTGACGTAAGGGTGTATCTCGTTTACTACATGAGCCTTGGAAAACGTAGAGTTATATGGGGAACAGGGCTCACGTGGAAATTGAGATACGACCTTACGTCGAAGGAGCGACGGAGAGAGGGATTTCCCTGAATTGAAAAAATAAAAGTTTCCGATCCGTCTTGAATTCTTTGACGCTGCGTTGCAAAAATTCGCGCTGTTTATTCCCGTCATCTTTAAACTTGATTTATTTAAATATCAGGAGAAAAAGAACGCAAAAATGAAAAATGAGACAATTTAAAAAAAAAAAAAATCACCACTTTCACTGTAAATATTACAAGCTGCATGAAAAGAATGACTAAAGTATGTATAGCAAAAGTGGTGATTTTTATATTTATTTATTTGTTTTAAAGAGATTGATTTATTACATAATGCATACGTCGCATGCAGGCAGTCAGCAATCGCCGGCAATTTGCAAGTTCCGTACTTGTCAATTCGTCAAATTGCAATTTAAATATCATCGATGTAGTTAAGGTTTCTTTAGCGAAGAAATTCAAGGCACGACCTCAGCTTGGAACGCCTTCAAATCCAGCGATACTCTCTGCTTTGTTACGGAGTTACTTTAGTTGCTTAACCAAACCAAACCCAACGCCGATTATTGATTACATTTCACGAACTCGCGAGTGTGCTACCTGGTACCATGCATGCATTCAAGAAGAAGGATATAACATATCTTGGAATTCAAAGCACACTAATCACTACTTTCTATCTTGTTTTTCACTTTAAAATTTGTTTCAATTTGTTGATTCAACACGAATAGAGTGCAATTTGCCGGAGATTGCTAATTGCCTGCGACATATGTACTTTCACTGTTGTTTTAAAATGAAATATTACAACACTCAGTGGCGTGGCGTGGCGTGGCTTGGCGTGGCGTGCTTTGCGATATATTGATTGATGCCATTTAAACCTATGGAAAAGGATCGATAAACAGGGTGTTCGCAGCAAACACCGTAATGATCGATTCTTTACCTAGCTGCAAAAGGGGAAATATCGACAATCGATCATTCACGCCTCACCACTGACAACATCGATAGATTATGATGTGAACGAAACCATTTTTTCTCAACATACGATAATCGAACACTTTATCCAACTTATTCTCCATTTAAATCCATCAATGGAAATCGAGTTTTGTAAAAAAAAGCCTACCTCGATAAAAATCGATTTTAAAGCATGCATTAATGCACAAAACCTATTGTTAGTATAACATTTTGCAATAAATCAACACCTGGCCGTCGATTGAGATTTGATAATCGGCTCTGGGTGAGAATAGCGAGTGACACCTCATAAACCCAAAACGCCAAGTCTAATCAACCCCCGCGTAAACGAGCACTCAAACCGGGAGACAAGACTGAATCGCACGCGTTTACAACCCGAACAATGAGGGTTTGAGTTATTGATTCCGAAAGAGGTTATGGCAAATGCAATCTGCTGCATAATTGCACCGTTCCCGCCAGATAATGACCTTAAATTGCCAATTTCCGGAACGGTGGCAAAAACAGCATAACTCCGACGTAAAACTTACGGGGATCCGTGATTCTTGCTCCTGTGAGGCGAATTTATAGCACGAGAAGTGGCAACAACGTCGCATTACCGTGGCTCAGTCGGTGAACGGCTGTCCGAGCTGGAAAATTAATTGATGTTTCATCGCTGCGTCGCCGAATCAAAAAAAAAGGAAAACTCGCCCGCAGTACTGCCGCGCTAAGGAAAAACACCGTATGAACATTCGAATGTTGCCGAATTGCCTCTCAGAAAATAGTAATTTCTGAAGATAATTATGCGTATTTTTCCGTGAAATTTTCAGAAATTTTAGATTTAATGACGAATAAAATTATTCGCAAAAATTGGAGGACAAAAGTTTACAAATAATCCCGAAAATTCGAGATTTATCGAAGGAGACTTGGCAACGCCTGAAGGCTCGTAGGGCGTTTTTCCTTAGCACGGCGGAGCATCGGGGGAAATCAAGCGAGTTTTAGCCTGCAACAACGCTCATTCGGTGGAAACCGTTTAATCCTGTTGATATTAAGGGGAACGGGCGAGGACGCTGTACCCTTGATGATATTTTTTTCTTGAAAGACGCGTGTTTTTCTGCGTGGAAATATCGGTTATTTTTAGTGTTTTATTTTGAGACTTCATGTTTGTGAAACCGGTATGAGGCGGTGACTGGATTGGTGCCTGTCACAGCAACATTATTTGATGGATAAATCTCGTGGCTTTGGACGAGCAATATAAAAATAGAAAAAAACCAAGCTCATCCTTAGGGCCTTTTCGTTGTATCCTGTACAAAAAAACGTAACTCCATTCCAATGTTGTCGAATTTTCTCTTGCTAATTGCATTTTTAGCAGAGTGATTATGGGCAATTCACAATGAAAATCTCACTGATTTTCTCCTGATCTCCAGCAAAAATCAGAACAATGTTTGACAAAATTTGGTACATTCTTGTAAAAAATCGAATTATTTGAGTCAGTTTTGCAACCTTGGAATTAAGTTACCTTTCTTCGTCCGGAAAACGATGTTCTGTCAACTTTGCTTCGATAGCGATCAACGTCGAGATTATGAGCACACGTATTCTGCTTTGGATGTTTCAAAATTATCGAATTTTATTTAATTACTTTTTTTAGAGAATCGTGTTGCGAAACGTTATTGAATGACATTACCTATAAAAAAATATACGTTATCGAAACTATGAAGGCAAATCACATGAAGTTTTGTGCAAAAGCAATATAAGCGGTCTTCCCTTAGAAAAGTGAGCTAATAAAAAACTAAATTTAAGCTTCGTTGCTGTGAAAGCTACATACTCGATATGGTCACAGTAAAACATCGTCATCTGGCTCTTTTTTGACATCGGAGCTACGTTTCTAGGAAATTTTTTGACTGAAAATCTCTGCAAACTACAGGATATAACGGTTCATTTTATCGTGGATGTTTCTGTTTCAGTCCTACATCGAGACACAGAGTGGTGGAAATGGATTTAAAAAGCAATTGCTTGCAACAAAAGAGCGCTTTAGATTCATATCCAACTGGGAGCCTTAATTTAATTTAGTTGTTTTTCAAATGAAAGCCAGCTACACTCTGCAATCTGATGAAATTTATTAAATTCTGTTTATTAGGTGACACACTGATGCACACCAATAGAACCAAATATACGTGCGAATCTAAATATTCCTTATTGCAAATTAATATTTTTGACTGATTAATGTTAGTAAATACAACGATACGATAAAAAAATAATTTTGCTTTAAGGTACATGGGCGGGAGTGCAGTTATTGCGGTGTAGTAACAGCCAAGAAAAATTGTATTTTTAGGATATTAGTATTTAAACCGGCAAGGACCATTTTTTCCTCTTAAGAAATCATTTATAGCTTAATTTTATATTGTACATTAGTTCATTGCATTTATTAATAAAACTACCATTGCGTCTGATTTTTTAGGTGCGTTTGACTCAAACAATGAAAAAGAAGACTTGCATCACAAGACGCCTACACTCATCACAATTTACAGCAAGAAATGTTTTGCATCGACTTGGCACCGACAGAGGAGAACTTGCACAATAGCGTAGCAAGGATAATTTGCATGATGTATGTTTATATAAGCTTCTTAGTTCAAAGAAGGCTTGTATATTTCTAGTTGGTTATTATTCCCTTTTTGATCTTATGTCAATTATAGTCCCGCTCTGACTAATGACAGTTTCAAACATCATTTTAATGGAGCTCAACTCAGGTGAAAAATTCCTACAATGTCAGTCTTCACTGATTGGTCAGAACACAATGGTCATCTCCACTGAGGCATGCTTTTACTCTCAACGTAAACGGGTACGATCTCAATGAACGACGTTTTAGTTTCGTTCATTTGGAAGTAATTCTGTCAAACGGAACTATGTGCATTATGACGAGAGCCCTGTTATGCATATATCCTTACGGGTCTCAGGGTTCATGTCTTGAGGCACATAGTTCCGTTTGGCAAAAATACGTCCATTTGTGATCCTAAGAGCTATGTTTCTGTTTGAGTTATTGTGGAGCGCGTTCTCTGATTTAAAACTGCAATCCTGTTCTGCTTCACAAAGGGAGATGACCCTTATTTGTGAACCCATTCGAAGCCCTAATTTTTATAAAAACTGTAGGCTCATAGGAACTGCAGTGTCAGCGATAAAACGCTCGAGTAAGGGGTAAGATTATTTTTTGGGGGCTCAAACTTTGTACACGATTTTCAGAATATTTCATCAGAAACCCTGTATTGCCGATACGGAAGCAAGACTTTTCCTCGTGAAAGCGTCTCAAAACTTGAGCTATGCATCTTAAATTTTTTGTCATGGGAACGGAGTTCCCCATGATATTACAATCGTTCCGTTGCTTTCGCTATGGGATTCCCTATACCTCTGCGACCTTGAGCGTTTCGCCCAGTCTCCGATTTTTAGTTGATTTTCCGATGTATCAAAGACCGTTGTATTTTTTAGCCAATCGTGTCTCTACGTCAAGTTGTGTTGATTGCTAAAATTCGCTTTCAGCGAGTTTTTTTCCACCTTCAGATGTCGTGTCTGACTGGTAAATCTGCGCAGAACCACGAAGTTCCGTTTTTAGGCAAATTCCTTTTTTTGGGAGGTTCTGATTGGTTATTTTTCGCCATCAGTTTTCTGTTCGTTGGTGCAAAAGATCGCCTACCTCGTTGCTCTTGAGAAGCCGCCATTATCCCACCTCAAATTTGAAAAATAGAAGTAAAGAAATAATAGCCATCGTACAAGGTGGAAAATTGTTCTGGAGGACTCGTTACGGATATATGAGCCAAAATCGGAACTCGATTGATTGATTTATTCCATGAATACAGAAATATTGCCTGGGCTTACTGCCGCGATGGCAAATGCCTGCTGATATGAACCTTGAGACACATGATAGCATAGGCAAACAATGTCTCACAGAGAAAGGCGCTTAGCTCGTTTCTCCAGAAGCTACGAAGACGCGAATCGCCGAATCGCTCAAGGACAACTCTTGTGATAAGTCCCGCCCATCGTCCGAGTCTTTTAAATGCTATTTTTTCTCATGCTGTCGCAGAGCTGTGATAGCCTGGTTGACTGAGGCGCCTCATATTTTGATAAGGTGCGGGCAATAGGCGATCGGGAGTTCGATACCCGACGATATGTGTTACTTTTTAATGGTTGTATTGAATGTTTTAGACCAATCATCAAAAAATAATTAATACTAGATGATAAATGTACGAACATTTTCTCGTGAGTTAATATGTTAAACAAAAATACTGGAATATACCTCCTTCATATAATCAGCCACATGTTCCCCCAAATTAATGACGTTATTTTCTTTTTTCAATAAAGTTAATTTGCATTCAACGTTCGTAAGTTAAGCAAAAAGTACCTATTGATACAAATAGAAAGACATGAAAATAGTATGTCTAACATTTCAGTTGCTTTTTTTTTAATTTATTTTTTGTTTTTTTGTTTTTTCAATAAAACAAATTGACTGGGACTAGAATAATTGTATCTCTGAAGACAAAAGCTAAGTTTTATGATACAGAAATACTAATATATTCATCCTTTATATAATCAGGGAGATGTTGACCCAAATATTGATGTATATTTTCCCTGTTCGCCCAAATTAATGATGGTATTTTCTTTTTTCAATAAAATTAATTTACATTCCACGTTCTTGAAGCAATATTTTCTCCAAAATTCAGCAAAAAATAACAATTTATACCTACTCAAAAAGTAAATAAATAAATAAATAAAGCAATGACATGAAAGTAGTATAGGTAGTACACATCTAACATTTCAGTTACATCTATTTGAATGAAAAAAATGGCAACTTAGGAAGCACATAGGTCACTTATGATGCGTATTCGGGCATATGCGTAGAGTAAAAATATCATACTTTACGCTGAAAAAACGAAACTGAAAGTTAAATGCGTTAACTTCCGAAAACCATACATAATCCAACGAAACTAAATAATTGGTAAATATAACAGCTTTCTTGTATGCAAAGAAAAAAAATTAAAAATGGTAAAAAAGAGATGTCGACACAAAATTACATAGCCCCTTCAATCCTGAAGATACTACAAACGAACTGTACCTTAACATTTTCATACCCCAGAAGCAAAAGTTCCCATGACGAATATTGCTATCGCTAGCGATTGCAAAAACCAACTTGTTATTGTTTACTCTTAAACTTCAATTAAACTCTCAAGAAGTCAATATTTGGAGTCTTTGGATCGCTTGCTGTACTTCATGGTGCAGAAATAAGCATTTAAAGTAGAATGGATCGGTTGCAAGCAAGAGATACAGCCAATTGAATATACTTTCTTAGGGTAAATTCACTTAAAAAAAAAAAAAAAAAAAAAAAAAAACGAACACCTTAAAAATATATTCTTTACCATTGCTTCAAATGAGAAATTATCGATAAATCGATAATTCACGCCTCGCCACTGTATGGCACGTGAATTCCAAGTACATAAAGAAGAACGGACCATTTCACTATCCAGCATAATACTGTCTTGATTGTCATTTGAGAGCTTAGCCCATCTATGAGGATCATTTGGACTGCATTTTGCAATTTGGACCTAAAAATTCTGGCTCATCTAAAAAGCACTGATGTGCATGGGGATACTAATGACACATGCGTTGTTTTTAAATCGGGCTAGAATTTATAGTTCCAAATTGCAAGATGTAGTCCATTTGAAAATCACGGTATTGTATTATTTTTACTAGAATGTTATCTTCCTTGAAAAAAGCTTCCATAAAAATTACCTCTATCAACGAAGATACCAATTATGGTGAAAATCAACCTGAGAGAATTTTCTTTCACGATTCTAGACTTGGAATACGTTTCTGTAAATGAAATAACTGCACATTCCAATTTTAAACAAAAGCCACTTGAATAAAGAGCTTTCGCCATTTCAAGCTCTTTTTTATGTGCCAATTACAATGATTTAGGCAATCTTAAACACTTGAAAGACCTTGAGGAGCAGCCTGCCATAGCGTCAGATAATTAACATTAGGATTCATTCGGTTTTGTGCTCTGCGTGGAAAATCCTTTAAAAATACAGAAATGAGGAGTGAGTGATGGGAAAATAAAAACGTCATTCGAAAAGCTCTTAAAGTTCTTTTCAAACATTTCCGGCTGAGAACCTAATTAAAGCAAAGAGATGGTGCAGCGCACAGTGGGAGACCATTGGCCTTTTTAAAACTTTCTTTTGTTTAAAAGCTAAACCTTGTTATATTTAAGGAAACTTTTTTCTCGGAAAAATGGGTTTAGGTTACTTTTCTGTACCTTTCAAATACGGAATTGATTAGATTACTATAATTTTATGTCTCGTTGAAGCAATACTGAACTGCATATTATGGATTTTCTTGTTCTCTTCATTTTCTTTCTTGTTTCTTTGTCTTCCTGGTAGAATAGGTTGTAAGACACTAAAATTTTCAAAAATATAATTCTTAGCACTGGTTCCTCTTGATATCTATGCATTACAGCATTCACCTTCCCTACTGATAAAATAAATATGGCCATTCTCTAACTAATGTATCAAACGCAATTTAGAATTGTGAGTTATGGCCATGTTGTGGAAAATAAGTGCGTGAACATTTAATTTTTATTTAAAATGAAATGACAAGTCTTGTCTAAAACGCTTGTTACATGCGTGTAAGGTATGACTTCTTATTTCATTTTAATTATCTGCTAAAAACACGCAACACGATCAAGTCCACGTATTCAATTGTTGCTGATTTTTCTCAAATTAATATTCAATTTTCAGAAAATCGATAAATATTTTAGGCTTAATTTCTCAGATTTTTTTCCTGCATTAAAGTGCTAACAAAACTGTTTGTAAATAATAGAGGACAGGTATCTCAAGTTTTCTTGTAAGCTAATGATCAATCAGAAAAAAAGATGACGCGACGTTAAATTTGCTTTTCTTCTCAGCTCCGTAGCATAGACATCATAGCTCACCTCGGCATGCGACGTGAGAATTCTTTCAACTCCTGCATGCAACTATTCGAGCTCAACGACTGTTCTGGTTGCATACACGAACAATTGAAGGCGTTTTCGTTTGCCCACGGGAGCGCGCAGCTCAGAAACTTTAGTTTGTGGTGGTGTCTTCAGCCATGTATCCACGAGATCTCTATAATATGTTAAGGGCATGTCCGCTGACTACAATGCGGCCCGACCTCCAGAGGATGCTTGCCCGGGTCTTACTTTAGTAAATTCGGTAGTCTGAGGGTTCTCTGACGTGAGGACGTACTTCAATTTTCACCTGAGCCCTATTCTCCGTATAACTATATGCTTATTGGGGCCCATAAGAAAATCGATTCCCATACTTTAGAGGAGCGACGAATTATCTATAGATGACCGTAGAGTACCTGTATAGGGAGAGTACCGACGGATCGGTTCATGGAGGGCTTAGGGCCCAAAAGTGCAGCCACCCTTCTAACCAACTTCTAACGCACAAAATTTCACTGCCAGTCTGCAGATTCCAATTCTAACCAGGTTTGCCAAGAATGTACAGAAATGAGCGTTCTTCCGCGAAATTGAGTAAATTTATGCAAAAACCGAGTCAAACACGTGCTTAATAAAGGACGGTTCGTAACAATAGTATCAGTAAATCGCTCTGCATTATTGAAATTCATAGGTTGGCTGCCCTTTTGGGCCCTAACTTTATTCGCGGAGGCATCGGTGAAGGCCTGA